GAAATGTGCTGAATGAAAAGCAAGCTACCCATCTGAATATGTAGAAGAGGTTGTCATTGGCTCAAAAGTGGATGGTGCAACAAGGGAGCAGCATAGACTTTGTAATACTTTATTTTTAAAGCATACAGCACTGTAATAGTTATGTACACCTCTATCAATCATTTTGGTTGAATACCTAACCTTTCTGATGTGGTAATGGGAATGAAGGAGGTAATGAGCAAGATTTGCAAAACATAACCATATTACCAACGTGTTTTTAGAAGATGGATATAAATATGACATCTCTATTATTTGTTTATAATAAATCAAAAATATATCCCAATTTTAAGAAATGTATCTTCCATAATATTCTCCAGGAGAACTCCGTGTCTTCTTTCTCAGCATTTTGTATAATGGTCAGGGTTAAATTGAATGAGGCAGCAAAAGTTTCCAAACATAATCCTTTTGGGGGTATTGTGTGAGAAGATAGCCTGAGAGAGTGTACTCTGGGAACCCAGAGGTCATCAGTAAGTAAGATAATAGTTCGTAGACGCTGAATTGATACATTTTAACTTAATTGATAAATCATGTGCTATTGCAGTCTCTCACCCTGAGGTGAGACTCATCAGCTTAGGACAGGAGAAGGCCTGTTTCTGAGTGCTAGGCAACACAAAAAGATTTGAAAATCAGGTGAGGCGGTAGGGATGGGGTTGCACAGAAATTTGCTAAGTCTGTTTTTTCCTGCTTCAGCACATCAAATGCTAAGACTGTTTTTCCTCTAGTGCAAAGGAGATGTGGGATGTGTGACATGTTTTTAATAAGTAAAGTTGACAAAGGTGAGGAAAGATGCAAAAGACCTATGCCAGAGTGACAGAAATAGATATCCGACAGAGGAGATTCTGAGGGTCATCAGTCTAGAGCTATCCTCCATCCCCTCTAGTCACTGAGCCAAGAGGCTCACCATGGGCTGCTGGCAGCAGGGTGAGGTCACTCCTTGGCAGAGGCTGGGGCAGGCCACCAGGCTGTATGGGGGCAGTGGAAGACCGAGAGGGCTGCAGCCCACAGGAGCTGTAATACAGCCCTCACCACGCTGAGAGGTCGGATCACAGGTTCCGGATTTCAACAAACTGCAGCCTGGAATCATCCAGGTGTACAAATGACCTGTTCCCAGAGAGCAGAGGGCAGAGAGGCCCGTTTCCCTAGGACTCCCATCCCCTCCTGCACTGGGATGCATAAAGCCCCTTCTGCTTCACTCTAAAGCCATTTTAGGGGTGAAAGAGGAAGAAGAGGCCAGCCAAGAGACTGTCTAAACTTTTAAAAATAAAATTTCGAAAAATTCTGAAAATGGCTGTTTAAATGATCAGCTCAATTGGATGTTTGAATATTTATTTAACCTTTTCTCCTAGCTAACTAGTTGGAAGGGGCTTGGAATAATATTCAGATTAGTTGAAACCAAAATAACAAAATGTTTATTCTGCATACCTAAGTTATGAGTTCAATTTGCCACCTTGCTATAGCTTTTAAAAATAATAAAAGACAAAGGCCCAGCTATCTTTATTCATATTGAGATAATGTATAGAACTACAAAGCCCAGAATTACAGGACATTTGAAGGTATTTGAGACATATCCCCCTCCCTGCCCTCCGCTGCCCCCACCTCCGGTTCTGGAATCACTGATATCTCCTGCTTGGAAAATACCCCTTTCCACTTACTTTGTTATGAAAATAAAACTGTTCTAGAAGGCGTTTAAGTCTGTTTTAAAACATACTCCTCTCATACCTTTTGTTGTTGTTGTTAATTCTCACCCCAGGATATTTTTTCCCATTGATTTTTAGTGAAGGGGGGGAGAGGCGGAGGAGAGAGGGAAAGAAAGAGAGAGAAACATGGATGTGAGAGTGGCACAGAGACACATTGATTAGTTGCCTCCTGCACTCGCCCCGATCATGGCCAGGGATCAAACCAGGTACATGCCCTTGACCAGGAGTCAAACAAACTCAAGACACTCTAATCACTGAGCCACGCTGGCCAGGGCTCCTCTAATACCTTCTTAAAAATTCTTCCAGGGATGGAAATGGCCCTTGAGCAAAGCATAAAATATGTCTTTCTTCTCTTATGTTGAAATCTGCTTTTTCTATTTCTTTTACCCATTGCCCTCTGTAACACCTTTAGGAAACCTCTCTTTTTATTCCTTTCATTATCTTTGTCTAGGATGTAAATCAGCAATACTTAGCTCCTACAACAAAGTCTGAGGCCATAAACGTGGGCTGAGGGGAGATTTAATCTGTGAGAGACTGAAATATCATCTAGTTAGTTTGGTGACAATAGGGAAGTATAGAGAGTGCAACCTGGTACACTGCTTCCTACTCATAGTGACTTCAAGTGTGTTTGTTTCCTCTCTCTCTCTAAACTAACAAACTTTTCTTAAAATAAAAATAAAAAAAAATCAAGGTGTAACCTCAATCTTGGTAAAAATGTCCAAAGGTAATTAAAATCTGTTTGCATAAAAATATAAAGCAGCCAAGCCAATGTGCATGTGGGTGTGCTTTTAGGTAATCATTGAAACAGTAAAATTCAAATGGCAAAGTCAGACAACTTGAAACAACATACTACATTTGTTTATTTAGTTACTAATACAATGGTAACAGATAAGGAGCACTGGATTTGTATCCTCTTAAGAGGTTAATGGTCAAGATTTTGATTTGTAAATTTCACTGTTCTTAACCATTAAAAATCTATTTTCCAAAGGAGTAATTATATATATTATTATTAAAAGACAGAACTAAACTTTTGGATTTAGAACCAAAAGCATGTTTGTTCATTAGTTTAAACTAAACACACAGGACATTTTAACTCCTGATTAATGCTTTCAGGAAAGCACAATGTTCTTGAAACACATATACAGAGACATCTTTTCCCACAGTGATTTCAACCATTGTGTATCATGTCAGTGATAGAACCTGAGAGCCCCAGATTTACTATCTCCGGATCGATCGTTGTAATACACTCTGGCTTGCTTAAGCAATCAACCAACAAACATGTATTTAGTGCCCACTATGTACAAACCAGCATACTAAAGCAATACGGGAAACACAAAGCAGTCAAATTATTGGTCGTTGCCCTGCTCAGGCTTCCAATGTAGTTTGTGAGATTAAACATTGACATAAATTATTTTCAATGTCTTTGAAAGAATAATGATGTGAACTACAGTGTATGTTCAAATCACCTATGCTACAAACTAGAGGAAGCAGGGACATAACCAGGAACAGCCTCAACATGGATTAAAGTCAGTCTGAATCAGATTTCTCAGTTCCACCTTTGAGTGCTGTTTGAATCTCCTTATCTGAATGTATTACAGCCAGCCTTACACCTGTCACTGTTAGTGGTTATATTTGGGAACTGTTTCATGAACTCATGACAGTGGGGCAAGATAAACATATATATATATAATATGTGAATATATGATATATATTCAAATCATATATATGGTGATGTTGAAAGCAAGGAGTACAAGACTTTCACTCTGTATAAGAAGAGGCTAACCCACATAATCATTTATTTATTATAAGACAAACGAGGCTACGTAAGAAAAGTATGAAAAAAAATCTCCAAACTTCACTGGATACAAGCAAAAATAGAAAGACTAGCCGGAAGGATAAGAAAAGTGGACCCAGCAAAGAGGAGAGATTTTGAGGGGGCCTTGGGGAAAGAGCCCCCCGCAACGCTCCATCCTCACCCTCAGTGTCCTGAAGAAAAAGCTCTGGGCTTGGCAAATAGAGAAAAGGAAAGCAGAGAAATTTTCAAACACCACAAATAAATAAATAATAAATAAATAAACATGTTAAACAAGAAAATAACTTATTAGGCACCGCTTGAAAGGGGGCAGCTCTCAGGGGCCTGACAGGCCCATTCTCTAGCCTGCAGGTGGCGGTGACGCCATCGGGATTGGCCAAGGCTCTGTAGGCAGCACCGAGCGAGGTCTTGGCCCCGGTGCCTGGTCTTCAAAATAAATCGGAGCAGGAAACTGAGTCAGTTTACTCTTAGATCTGCAGCTCCAGACGTTTGGGTGAGGGAGAAAACCAAGTTAGTGTAGTTGCAGCCACGTTCCTAGGTGCCCCTCCCACCCCCCCGGGGGAAAATGCTCCCTGCCCTCGGTGGTCTAAGGCAGACCAAGGCCCCGGGGTGCTGGTTTTTGAAAGTTAAAGCGCCGGTTGTGAGCAGGGCAGGAGGGGGTGGCTTCCATTATAACCCTTCTCCCTGCCCCCAACCTCGGAATCTAAAAACCCCTCGGTCTTTGTTCTCAGCTCCTTTTGGCTCCAAATGGGGGGTTTGGATGGGGACTGCGCAATGCCTGGCGTTCGAAGCGCGGGACCAATTTTACTAAGCACCTGGCTCCGCTCTGGGTGGAGTGGGAGTGAGTGGTGGAGGGGCTCGGAGAAGGGCGCATCTTCACCAGAGAGTGAGAAAAGACCAGCTGCCTAGTTCATCCTGAAGTCCGTCTTCCCTTCAAAGTAGGGCTGTGCAAAGGGGGAGCGGTGTTTCGAGACTCTGCTAGGAGCACCAGGCAGAATCTGGCAAGCCAAGGGGCGCGGCAGGGTGGGGCTGAGGGCCAGCCAGGGGGGCGCCGCCAGGGAAAACCGTGGCTCGTCTTAAACAAACAGAAATAATGCCTGGCGGGGCTGAGGGTGAGCTTAAGTTGGCGACGTTAAAAGGAGTTCGTGATCTGCACCCGAAAGACTGGGTGGAAAGAAGGATCGAAGTTACTGAGTGGGAAGCATAGAGGGTGCAGAAGAACAAGCGCAGTGTAGGAAGGCGGGAGAGTAGGAGACAGTGGAGAAGGGGGTCCGCAAGCCTTCCCAGTTTACAAGCAAAACACCCAGTTCCACCTTTGTCGCGCTCCTTTCCCTGCTCTCTTAACCCGAAGTTCGGAGCGCACAGCGTCCTATCCCCACTTTGCTCCACCGCACCCTGACCCCTGGAATACGTTCACCTCTAACACCTGACCTCCCTTTCTCCTCGTGCTCTCGAGTGGCCCCAGCTCAGAGAGTCGTGATGCGGGAGGTGCAGGTGCCATTACGGAAGACGCCACCGGACTCCAGGTTCTCCGGCTGAAAGTCCTCCACGCTGTAGGCGCGACTCTTGAGCGCGGTGGCGTAGTAATCTACCGGCTCCTCCGCGGCGTTGTCCATCCAGCTGAGGCACAGGATGCGCTGGAAAGAGCGCTTGAAGTTGTCCGAAAGGAAACCATAGAGGATGGGGTTGGCGCAGCTATTGGCATAGCCAAGGATGACCGACAGCTGGCTCACTGTGGCGTCGTCCTGCTCTGCGAACACATTTACCAGCTGCACTACATAGAAAGGCATCCAACAGATGACAAACACCATCACCACCATCATCACCATCAGGGTGATCTTACGCTCTGAGCGCTTGCGCTGCTGCCAGCCGGCTTTGAGAGCTACCATGCGCATTTTTGCGATGATGAGCACGTAGCACAGGCAGATGGCCCCGACGGGCAGCAGGAAGCCCATAAGAAATGTGTACAACACGAAACCCACCAGCCAGCGCTGGGCGGGCTCGGGCATGAGCATGTTGCAGGCCACCGTGCCGTCACTGTTGGCCGCCGTGCGTGAGAAGACCACGATGGGCAGAATAACGAGCAGCGATAGCACCCACACCCCCAAATTCACCACCTTGGCCACGGTGGGCCGGCGGTAGCGTGCTGCCTTGATGGGGTGCACCACGGCCACGTAGCGGTCCACGCTGAGCACAGTAAGACAGTAGATGCTGGTGAACATGTTGACTGCGTCCACACTGAGCACGAGGCGACAGAGCAGCGCGCCGAAGGGCCAGTGTCGAAGCAACGTGGAGGTGACTAAGAAGGGCACGCTGAGCATGAGCAGCTCATCAGCAATGGCCAGGTTGAGGATGTAGATATTGGTGGCCGTCTTCATCTTGGCGTAGCGCAGGATCACGTAGATGACCATGGAGTTCCCACACAGCCCCACCAGGCACACCACGGAGTAGATGAAAGAGATGAGGATGGCGCTGCCCTGGCCTTCGCTCAAGGTCCCATTCTGGGACGCATTTCTCCCGGTCTCCTCCATGCCGTCCGCAGCGCGGGCCCCGGGGCCCCTGCTGCCGCTGCCTTCGCCACAGCTGCACGGGCTGGGGCTAGGAGAGGAGGAAGAGGAGGCGGTGCCATTGGGGAACATCTCCGCTGATGAGGGTCGATGGGGCTGCTGGGGCTGGGGCGCTCTCCTGCGCCCCCGCCCCTTGCGCCCGCACTCGGCACCCGGGCTGCCAGCCGGTAGCTCACTGCCGCCGGGAGCCTGGGGGTAGCGGACAGCGGCTGCAGGGAGCTGGGCTCCGACTCGCGCCAGCGGGCCTCATCGCCCAACCGCTGCCTGCGCGCAGCCGCTTGCGGCTCCCGAGCGCCTGGCCACACGCGAGCATGGAGTGGGGAGGCCGGGAGACTGGAGCCCCGAGCCGCACAGCCATTAACTGGCGCGCTCTGGGCTGCTGAATGATTAATAGTCACCACCAGCGCGTCAGCAGCTACGAAAGGGAAGGGGTGGTGGTGGTGGTGTTGGAGAAAGAGGAAGGAGGACAATATAGGAGGCTATCACCCCTCGCCCATTTTTTATTTTTCCCAGTCCTATGCTCGGTTCAACCTGAGTAGTTGCTTCCGGGGCTCCCCTGCAGCACCCTTTACCCATGCTTCGGGGGGAGTTTCTCTGCCTTCCTAGAGGGTGGGTGGGAATCAAAGGTGTAGTTTCTGCCCCATCCCACTCGGCCCCTAGCCGAGGCAAAGACTGAAGCGGACCTCAGGCATAGATAGGTGTCTGGAGTTCATCTCAGTTACCCTCAGCTACTGCCCCGCCCCGAGGGACCCCTAACTCCACTCGGTCCAATCGTCCCGGGCCCTAAACCCCCACCTTCCGCCTCACTTGCCTGCTCCTCAGACCCGCTGCGGAAGCTCCCAGCCTTACTTACCTAGGGCGCGCTAGCGGAGATGGCCCGTGCAAAGTGCCTGTGCGGTCTGGTAGAGAGGTGACGTTTGTCATGCAGTCCAACTCCTTTCTTTGGGCGGGACCCCAACACAGGCGCCTACGCATATACTCTACGAGTCACGGAAATTGACCCTAAGTCGGCAGCCTTGGGAGGATGGACAACAACGATGCGTTAGGGGCTTCTGCGTTACATCACCGCAGGCAGCTCTTCGCCAGCGGGAGTGTTCAAGGCTCTGGGTAAACCATTATGAGTCTCTTATTAAAGCGTGTGGTACCCAGAGCCCCCTTCATCTCCCAAGGGAATATCGACTGCGGGAAGGAGGCGCCCGCTGGGAGCGCGGCAGTAGCCTGCGGCTCGCTCCAGAACGCGCCAGGCGCGGTATTGGAAATTCATCTTGGTGTTCACTGAAGAAGATAAGGCTTGGAAAGGCTCTGCTGTACTTTGTACCGGGGAGAGTTGGTGGACCCCGGGGGAGAAGAGTGTAAAGGCTTGGGCCAGCAGGGATGTCAGCTCCTCTAGACCCGCGAGGGGAGAGCCGTGCAGGTGACCAGACTTGTCCTCAACTCCAGGAATGGCAGGACGGCCTTCGAGTCTTTCCAATAAAATACTCGGATTTCTACCTTTTCTGAGACCCCCTGGACGTGAGACTAAGGCTCCAATGTACGTGCCTAAACCTTTAAGACACAAAAATCGATGCAGGCAAGTCTAAAGCTCACCCACCTCAGTTAGGAATTGAATTGATTCTGTGGGGAAGAAAAAGTTCAATTACCGTGATTTTTAACGACGCCTGGGACTTCCCACCATCCCTAGTCAAGGCTTCCTTTGGCTTTCCAATGGTTTCAGCACAAGGAAGAATCACACCATCGAGTTCCCCTATTTCTTTTCGAGGTCCCTCAAGTCTTTATATGAATCACGCAGGCTCCCAGAAAGACTGACCTGCAGCAACCTAGTGCTGGGCCTCTTTCAAGCCCGAGCTTTGTCTCCAGTTTCTTGTTCCTCCTCCCTCTCAGCCAGAGGACACGAAGTGGGTGAAAGTCTCAGCTTCCTCTCCCACCTGTGCAGTTTTCACTAAGGAGAGGCAAACTTCAACAGGAACTAAACTCCTCATAGAGGCTATTGGTACCACAGCCCAGAATACAGAAATGGGAAAAAAAAGTACAATTCCTATTGCCCCCCTTGCTTTATTAAGGTAAATCATTTGCATATGTGTTTTAGTTTTCAGAACTGGCAGGGGAAAGAATAGCTTTTGTAATGTGTTGGTTATAGCAATCAGTGATAAAATAAATGATGACAGACTCTCATAGGAATATATGCTTTGGACACTGAATTATCATCATCATTATTATTACTTGTTCATCGTTACCTGAGGATATTTTTCCATTCATTTCGTAGAGCGTGTGGAAGGGATGGAGGGAGGGGAGAGAGAGAGAGAGAGAAACATGATGTGAGAGAGACACACTGATTGGTCGGTTGCCTCCCACATGACCCTGACCATGGCCTGGGAAACCTGCAACACAGGCACGTGCCCTTTACCAGAATGGAACCCACTACACATTGAACCTGGTGGACTGGGGCAGATGTCATAAGAGATGAGCGAAAACCAGGCAGGGAGACACTGAATTATTAATGGTAAATGTGCTAGGAAGAAATTTGAAATTTCATAAGGCCCAACCTGTTTAACTCATTGCTTTATCTAAACAAATTACTTTATCTAAAATGGAATGTGGAATTGGTGGTTAGTTTTATTTTATTTATTTTTTAAAGAAATACAACACATATGGAGAAAAATAATGAATGTTTATTGGGTTTTAAAAAATGGCCTTTTTTTTCTCCCAGGAGAGCTTTTAAAAAAAAAAATTTTTTTTTTCTTTATGGATATTAAAGAGAGAGAGAGGAAGGGAGAGGGAGAGAAAGATAGAAACATTGATGAGAGAGAACATCGATTGGCCAACTCCTGCATGCCCCCCACAGAGGATCAGACCCACACCTGCCCCGACCAGGAGTCGAACCAGTGACCTGTTGGTGCATGGATTGACACTCAACCACTGAGCCACACCGGCTGGGCCCAGGAGAGTTTTTTTAATTAGCCAAGCCTTATAATGGTTTAGATGCCTTTTTGGCAATCACTGATTAGATACCTGGCTGTTCCTCAGGGGGCTGACATTTCAACAGTCATCATTTAGACACCTGGGTGTTAATCGTGGATGCTCTAGGGGAGTGGGTGATGAGAACCTGTAAAACACAGCTCTGTTGTTCAGAATCTCCTATGTTCACTTTGCAGAGCATCTTAGGAAAAGCTTTCCATTTAGTGGTAGCCTCATATATAAAAGAAGAAAATTTAACAGCTGACACAAACATGCTTTTTTGCTTCTGGAGTGGTTTCTATGATGAATAATTTATCCATAAAAAGAGACTGACAATGAGATACCACTTTACACCCACTAGGGTGCCTATAATTTTTTTTAGAAGAAAATAACAAATGTTGTCAAGCATGGGGAGAAATTGAAACCCTTATATGTTTCTGGTGGGAGTAAAAAAATGATGCAACAGCTTTAGAATGTTTGATGGTTCCTCAAAACTTAAACATAGAATTGTTATATGGCCCAGCAATTCCACTTATAGGTATTTACAAACCCCCCCCCCCCCCACCAACTGACAACAGATGTTTGAATAAAAACTTGCCCTTGGGCCCTGGCCGGTTTGGCTCAGTGGTTAGAGCGTCGGCCTGCGGTCCAGAGAGACCCGGGTTCGGTTCCCGCTCAGGGCACGTACATCAGCTTCAGTTTGTCCCCGGCCCTGGTTGGTCATGCAGGTGGCAGCCACTCGATGTGTACCTATTACGTCGATGTTTCTCTCTCTGAACAAAAAATGCAAAAATGTCCTCGGGTGAGGATAAAAAATAAAACAAAACAAAAAACAAAAAAAAACTTGCACTTGGATGTTCATCGCAACACTATTTATTTTATTTTATTTTTGTTACAGATGTTTCTCCTTTTTCCCCCATTGACACCCTCCTCCCAATCTCACCTCTCCCAGCATTATTGTCTATGTCCTTGTTTATGCATACATACGTATAAGTTCTGTGGTTTATCTCTTCCCCTCACATCTACTTCTTCTGAGGTTTGTCAGTCTGTACCCCATTTCCATGTCTCTGGGTCTATTTTGCTCCTCAGCTTGTTTTGTTCATTATATTCCACAAATAAGTGAGATCATGTGATACTTGTCTTTCTCTGACTGGTTTATTTCGCTTAGCATAATACTCTCCAGGTCCCTCAATGTCGTCTCAAAGGATAAGAGATCTTTCTTTCTCTTTTTTTTATATCCTCACCCAAGGACACTTTTCCACTTTTTGCTCAGGTAGAGTGGGAGGGAGAGAGAGAAACAGAGAGAGGAAGAGAGAAACATCGACGTGAAAGGGACACATGGAGTGGCTGCCACCCGCATGACCAACCAGGGCCGGGGACAAACTGCAACCGAGGTACATGCCCTTAGCGGGAACTGAACCCAGGTCTCTCAGGACCGCAGGCCGACGCTCTAACCGCTGAGCCAAACCGGCCAGGGCGAGATCTTTCTTTCTTATGGCTGCATAGTATTCCATTAGTGTATATGTACCACAGCTTTTTTATCCACTCTTGGGCTGTTTTCAGATCTTAGCAATTGTAAATAGTGCCATAGCAGCACTATTTACAAAAGCCAAAAAGCCAAATAGCCCAAATATCCATCAACTGATAAGTTAAACAGAATATAATATATCCTCACAATACATTATTCATTTATAAAAAGGAATGACGTACCAATGCATGCCACAACATAGGTGAACCTTGAAAACATTTGCAAAATGAAAGATGACAGAACACATATATTGCATGATCCCATTTATATTAAATGTCCAGAACAGGCAAATCCCTAGAGACAAAGCAGATTAGAGGTTGGCAGGGTTCAAAGGGGAGAGTTAATGGGGAATGACTGCCTAATGGAGATGGGATTTCTCTGAGGGGTGATGAAAATGTTCTGAATAAGACAATGGTGGTGATTACACAATATGATGCATGTACTAAAAGCCACTGAATTGTACACTTTAAAAATGGTTAAAATTATGAATTTTGTGTCATGTGAATTGTACTTCAATAAAGAGAGAGAGATTGAGATGGATGTAAGACTTGCAGTGTTATGAACTCTTTCAATGATGTATTTCTTAACATTGTATCTGTGAACTAATCCATGAACAAACAAAAACAATCAAACAAAAGGCAGCAATTCTGGGCTAAACAACATGTGACTGGACTTGCAACTGTCTTTATAATATGTTAAAAGCAAGAGCCCAGGTAGGAATCTGCCTTCCTTTTACACCTCAATTTGATGTAAACATTTCCTGATGAAATAGGAACAGTAATGTTGTGTGGAAGGACATGGCCTATGAGAAGTCAGGACTCCACATCTTCATGTCTTGTTTAAAAACTTTTTAAAAATTTATATATCTAAAGTATCTAAAGACTTGAAAAGCTCAGTATAAGCTTGTTTTCTCCATGACAATTATGAGTCCTGCA